CTTTTTTAAAAAATCTGAGTTTATTGTTACTGACAATAAATTTTCGCCCAGTGTAGATATATATGGACAGCAACGTTACTCCTCTAAATTTTAAGTCAAATAAATGAAACAGGAGTTGTTTTAAAATATACATATGGGTGAGTGGTTGGTTAGAGTGGGATGGGGGTGGGGTTGCATTTTCTATATCATAATGCTCAAAACGTCTATTATTAATCATATCTCTACGTTTCCTTTTTGTTTTTGATTGAGTTTAATCGGCAACAGATCTAACTTATACTTAGGCCTAGAAATATTTATTGGCAATTTTCAAAAGCAGAAAATATTTTGTTATTCTTTTTTTTTTAATGTTATAATCAGTAAGTATGATTATCTATCTTTCGATAGTTTATTAATAAATATGTTGCTTTTAATTTAAACCATTAGTCATCAGCGCATAACTAATCGCCAAGGAAGGAAACATGTATATATTCACACAGTTTCTTATGCAGTACTACCACATCAGAACTTCACTTTTATATCTCTCAAAAGGTAACGATGATGCTTATTTTATATATATATATATATATATATATATATATATATATATATATATATATATATATATATATATATATATATATATATATATATATATATATATATATATATATTAAAATATGAAATTAAAAACAGTTCATAGGCTCAATACTTTTTGCAAATACGTTTGTTACACAAACTAATTTAACAGAGTGTAAATCCTATGTCTTTAAAAACATTAATGATCCGATGAAAGTAATTTTCCTAAATCATAAATTGGAGTTTCAAAAGAGTTTCATAGCTTTCAAATTTGATGACACAATATTTTGACTTGAAAGTTGTTACAATGTAAATTTATTAGGTTGTTCAATATCAAGACAGGGCATGTTGCTGCCTATCTTAAATGTACCAATTTAAAAGTTGAATTGAAGGTTCTTTATTCTCTTTTTTAGAAGAGAGAGCTTCAAAATATCTTCAAAATAGACCGTGCTTTGTGAACCTGGTCACAAAATATTTTCTTTTATAAAAGTACTCTAAATAACAAATATGGCTATATGGTTAAGCTAAGTTAGCAATATCGGGGCAAAACCAGTTTTTGACTTATTTAAACGTACAGTTTACGTTTTATTGACGAGCCTTAAGTCTAAAATTAGATTGCATTATTGTTTGATTGAATATATGAAAATATTGTTCATCAAAATAAATGATTGATTTGGGATAATTTTAGATCAAATGTTGGCTTTGTATTGTAATAAAAAAAGACTGGTTCATGCTGGTGTCCTTTACGATTAAATGCACATGTCTTCGTTTCAGGTAAACTGACAAAATATAAAGGCTATCATGTTTTCTTGCAAGAAAACATAATAATCCGAACGATGATTCAATTCAAAATTATTTAAATTTGCTGAATCGTAAATTTCAATCGCCGACTGGCTACGTCATGTTAATAGACACAAGGCATTGTATCTTATTCAGACGGATAATTAAAACAAGCTTTAAAGGGTAGCAAGCTACATTGTAACAATACAGTCATATAATACATTGTGTTATCATTGTACTCAAAACAAGGCTATTGTTAAATTCATTTTATCTTTATTGACTATTATTGTTAAGACTTTGAAGATCTAATTAATCATCTAAAATTATTCATTCAATACTCAACAACTGAACTTATTTTCACTATCATAATGAAATACAATACAGCCATAAGATACAAATAAATAACTTATCCCCATTCCCCCATTCTCTCATTGGCATTATTTTTGATATCGAAAAATTATTATTTTCATTTTACGACTTTTATCTGCACAAAAATACATTCTTATTTTAAACAGGTATGTTATTTCCATTAGTGTTTCTATGGTAATTTCATACTGAAGTACATCGTCATCTGTATTTCATCTCTTTTTCTGCAACCATATTCAGATGACATTTATATAATATATACAACAGAATATTGATAAGATATGATATTTTCTGTAATTTTGACAACTTTATGAATTATATTTTAGATTATTGCAAGATTTAATTTGAATTGAAATAAAATGAATTTATTATATAAAATAAGTTAAATGTAAAGGATGAAACGTGTTCTTTTTTAAAATAGAATTACTGTATGTATTTTGATTTCCTTGTTCATCTTTTAATTATCTGAATTGTATCCTTATGATTTTTTTTCTAGAAATTCGACATGGAAGATTCTCATACAGTACACAATCTCTCTCTCTCTCTCTCTCTCTCTCTCTCTCTCTCTCCACAAATACGAATCAGCTTCTGGTCTTTCATTTTTTAGAAATATGATAAAACAATTGATTTATAGTTTTATAAAATTACATCTAATCTTAAAAGCTTTACAAAAGTAAAAATACTCAAATAAAAGTTATGATCAATGCCACGAATGTATGAAGGTATACTTCAATTCATGAATAAAATTTTTGAAAGACAATGTGCCATTTGCATAACACAGAGAAACAGGCATTCATTTATTTTTGTCTGCTGTAGAAATCATTAAGATGTCATTGTTCTATGAATTTTTTTTTATTCTTATTTCCAATAAAAAATAGAGCACCCTTCTCACAAATACAACAGAATCGCCTATAGTAAACCATGAATCTAATAAATAATCTCATATGTACTTGTCATACATAAACATGTACATTTAAGTCATTAACTTAAAAAAAACAAGCTCTTTGTAGAAACACTGAATTAAACCATAAAACCATAGTTCTTCTCTATCGTGAATAGAAAAATGATCAACATGATATGTCTGTGCAAACGAATAAGGAAGGCGAAATAAAAAGGTCTTAGGCTTGAACGTCCAGATCTGGCACACAATTCTTTTTTTTCATTTTTACATGTATTTCTTTTTTATTTTTATCTTTTCATGTCTTATAATAGATTACATTCGTTCATTTCGTTGTTGAATAAGAAGTTATTGTTGCAAAAAGATATTGCCTAAGCCTGAATTCACCTGCTCACTATGTATTAACTCCTACTTTTTATGAATGAGCGGAGAGTCATTCCGTTTGTGAACTTTTATTTTTAAACTTCCCTATCACAGGTAAATTCCATTTAACGTCCTTCACATTTCACTACATATTTAAATTCCTCGTGCAACTTAACCTAATTTGAGTGCGATGGAAAATTCTCGGGTATATGAAGATTATAAATAATTGCAGGATGCCAAAGTTATTTTTAATTTGAATTAAATTCTTTATAATATCATTGTTTCGTCAGAAAAATATTGATGAAAAAATATATTAATATTACTAAATAATTATATTGTTTTATTTTATATGAATCTATGAACTATTAGTGTAACTATCCAAATTTCTTTTTGAATTATACGAAAAAAAAAAGAATATTCAAAAGTGCACATTTGTAAGAAAAGATATTGTTTTAAATTCATTGCAAAAGTAAATAAATAAATCAGATATGCCTAGAAATCCCTAACTACGCGCGATCATACAAGAAGAACAGGAAATAGCAAGGTAATTTTCAGAAATTTATAATACAGCCATGGTCAAAGCAAAAAGGCTAGTAACTATAAATAAATCTTCAAATCAGACCCATATTTGCAAGAACATTATGTGAAACTCAACAACTTAGTTATTTATAGGATTTTGCTGTTAAGACTTTATGTTAAAAATTTCCTTTTTTATTTTTTTCTTATTTTGTCCAAAGAAAATCAACCCAGAATCATTTAGTCTCGTTTGATGTCAGCAAATTGTATTCCAACAAAACGATGATCTAGGAATTGTCAAAATAGAACATGATATAGACAAGTTTCTTTATCTTTTATATTTAAAATATTTTCAAGAGAGAAATTTGTTTGAAAAGCTTTCAATTATTCGTACAAACCAAATCTATGTATTGATGTAATGACATGCTTTAATATGAAAGATGATGATATCGAACATTGTTCCTATAGAAAGAAGCTCTCACAGCGAAGTATAATTAAGACCACCAACGTATGCAAATCTTGCTCTAATATCCTTTTTCAAAATTTCTATGCCCTGTGTATTTACTTTATTGACTCTCTGAGTAATGACGTTAAATTAAACATAAAGTGATTTAAAAATTTTGCTTGATATGTAGGTCTCAGTGGACACTTCAATTTAGGCATTTAATTCAATAAACTATGCGGATGTAAATGCCAAACGTTATTCATTCAAACATTACTCAGCCATTGACACAGATTTTAAATATTTTCATTCAGCAAAAATAATTAATTCCTTCTTCAATCAGTCAGTCAATTTAGAAAAAAAGAAACATTCACAAATAAATTTTAACCTTTTTATTTTTGTCAACAATAGACAAAATAAAAAAAGTAACAATATATTAACAATATATGAACACATATATACGATTACATGAAAAAAATAATTGCAAATGGAATAACATTCTTGATACAAATGTATGAACAGAATGTAATGAAAAAAAGGTAAAGATAATGATAGTAAATGATCTCAAAAAATATACAAACAATCTGTGAACAGGGCATAAAACACTTTAACAATGTAATACTGCCAAAGGAATTAATAATGTCAGAAAGTAGCTGCCATTGGAGAAATCTGAATAAATAACAAAGAATGCTATCACATACTATCACATACCTAATGGAAATATTATTATTGAGCTGCTATAAAATATTTTTCTGTATCTTTTTTGTCCTTCTATTTTTCTTTCTATTTCTTCTCAATTTCTTTTTACATTTTTGAATAGTCTTTTCTTTGCACTTTCGTTTTAAACCAAATCTACCCTTTCTTTCAAAGACACAGGTATTCCAAAAATTTAAGGTTCCCTGCAAAACATTTTCCGCAGCTTTGATTTTTGATAAATCTTCCATTTCGACAACTTTGAAACAGTTTCGTTTTGACTGCTTAAACCTGTTCTTACTGACGCAGACTCCCGTTTTTTCAAATGTTTTTATTGTTTTTTTCTTTTTGTTTCTTCTCTTACATTGGAGTTTTCTATTGGCTTGATGTAGTATACACATAGCAGGTTGTAAAAGTGAAGATAAATTAATACGTGTATCTTTTTCCAGAGTTTTTGACACAATTTTGAAAACATCATGTACAAAGGTTAAATTAGCATACGTCTGATGAATGAATCGAATCTGAGGGATAAAAAACAAAGCATCCAAATGATTAAAAATTTCCTTGAAGAAGAAAAAGCGTTTAACATTAAATTCTTAGTATTTATTATGTCGTGTTACTTTAGAGGTGAAAACGTAAAGTAATTTTGCCTTCTGTTATGAGTTTATTATGATTCATAAATTACTAATTTTGTCATAAGAACTGATTTTTTTTTTTACCTTTTTGTTGACTTTTCCGCCAATCCTTCGTAGAGGGCTAATAACACGTAACCTACAGCGATGACTTTCTTTAATGTTCACTCTATTCAAAGTTTCTTCCTTTAAAAATATCGATCAATTAATTAACCAACAAAATCTTAAACCAAGCAAAATGAAAAAAAGAGTCAATTTCGATTTAATTTGATATTTTGCTAAATTGCCTTAACATCCTAAAAATGAGCAACTACTTCACGTTGTATTTTTTAATGTGATTTTTGATTCTTATTTTCAGAATTTTTAAGAATGTAATATACGGTGACCAATGAAATATGAAGATAACGAATAGTAATCAAGCTTAAAAATCGATTGAAACATTTCAAATCGAGAGCAGAGCAAATGCGGACCTAAAAAAATCAGTGGTCGGATCAGGTTGATATATATTTGTTGCTATCAAATTCATTGAAATTAAACATTTACTTACTATGTTTAATGACATATTTTTCAATTTCCAAATCACATCATTCATATTCCGTATCATGCTTGATAAAGAAACTCTGTGATCACAGTCAGATTTTGACGTTGTTATTTTAGAGTCTGCCCTCTGTAGCTCACATGGTTTACACGTGTCTAGGCTCGTCGTTAAAGTAATACAAAAGGCAAATACGCCAAGGTAACATAATGCTAAAAATAGACAAGTTAAAACTCATGCAAAGCAGTATGAGGAATGTTATCAAATCGAAAGTAATAATTTGGAATTTAAAGAATTTGAAAGTGTCTGTAAAATTACTTAAAAAACGAAAAAGTTTAGATAATGCATCTGAAAGGAAATATTGTGCAAAGCAGTTTATGGAATTAAAAAATGAAATAGATATATACATGCTTTTCTTTTACCGTTTGCCATGACATACCTTTTACTAGATTGATTTGATAGGGTTTCTATATTTATAGTCGGAAATTTCAGGAAAACCATGCTCTCTTGTTGGACATCGCCTACCATATCCGTGTGAGATGACTCACGTTTCCAAAACTCTATCCAGGCAAGAAATTCCCGTCCAATCCAAAGTAGGTAGAAGAATTGGTTTATTGCTTTAAACAGTATTTCAACATCCAGATCATTCTTGATTTGTTTAAATGTACATATCTTATGTATAAAATTTAACATTTGTTTCAAATATTCCTATGGCATGTTATTGCATTTATTGCTAATTAAATATATTAAAGAAAATTAAGTTGTCCAAAATCAATTTAATGGAAAACGAATAACATATAAGTCAGGAAGAATAGTTTAATTCTGAATTAATGCCTTTTAGATTAAAATCCTTACAAAGAGAGATACATACCCTGTCCAGCAAAAAATGTTCTACTTTACTTCTTGCAAAAATATTAACTGCAGTAAAGGAGAAACTTCAGACGTACTGAGCCAAAGCATATATTCTAGAAGTTGTGTAAATCAGATGTAAATTTTTCAAAAACTCCGAAGAACTTGTAGATAACTGAAAATCGCCATTATTTTCAAAAGTCAGTAACAACAAAATACACAACTTTTCTACACTTAATGCAACCATTCCTCACAGTCTCGTTTAAAGGAATCATTTTGTAAGTTCTATGGTCGATACAATGACCTTGCCAACAAATACAATCTATCATTAAGTCATATGCTGACTGACATTTTTCATACTAATCGTTAGGCCATTATTTACACAACTGAATAGCCAACGGATTTTTCCGTTATTTACCGGTTATGACAAGGAGCAAACGGCGGGTGTGACAGGTCGGCAAGAAATGCTCACTCCTTCATGGCACGTGATCCCACCTCTGTTTTTGGAGGTCCGTGTTTGCACTGCTCCTGCTTTTTAGTTGACAATGGGCTTGAATACTGTTCGGTATCTCCATATTTCATTAAACCACCGAACATGTATTTCTGTTGGTGGACAGTCTGTACCGGAGGATATTTGTCGTTCGGTACTTGTTCATTCATGAAAAGCACACAGCATAACGAAAGGATACTGGCAGTCGCAACGCCAAGTGAAACGAGGCTTCACTCTTTTGAGTCTATAGGGGGCACAGACTCTAAGAGCTCAATCGGTGTCCATCGAATTAATATCAGGGATATTAAATTAAATTATGTCATATGTCCAAGTTTTGGTATAGAACCAACTGTTCTTACAAATATTGAAGGAATGTAAAGTTTCTATTGGAGATATATTTGACGATTCGTTTTCCGATCCCATGTGTTCTATTTCAAAATGTACTGTCAAAAACTGTAATACCTGTGATATTTTGATAACTAGGTCTTCGTTTTCTAATAATCTTACTGGACAGAGCTTCTATACCAAAACTAGGGAAAATCTGAATTGCAAATCTTCTAATGTTGTCTGCGGAATAGAATGTACCCAGTGAAGGCTTTTTATAATGGTGAAATCAAGGGTTCATTTAATCAAGGAGTATCGGGACATAGATTTCAGATTAATAACGGAGGCCAGCAGTTTCTATACAAGCATTTTAATTTACCTGATCATTCAATTTTGTCAATGGAAGTTAGAATTCTAGAGAAGATTTACCATCATAGCCCATCACTGAGAACACATTTCCATAGACAACAAAAAGAATACTGGATTAGAAAACTAGGCACGACCTTTCCATATGGTAGCAATGACAATTTGGTTAGTGTTGCGAATCTTTCAAACCCCACAGTGTAGCAAGGTGAATGTTATTGGACTTTTTAACAGTACAAAGAGACGTGGGCGTAGTCATGGACATCGGTCTTACAATAAACCAATTATACACGATGTCTCCTTTGATTCACTACTACCTTATGTAAATAAATAATTAGGCCTTAATCACATTCGCACAAAACTTTACTCTGTCCCTTTGAAAATTTTGAATAGTCTATTTATAAAAGTCAAGGGAAGTCCATATTTGGATTCCTCGACACAAGAATACAGGCTAAGATCTGTGGTTATGGATATTGCAAATCAAAGGCTTTTTAAACCGCCATGTTTTACGGAAGAAAAAACAGCTAAATCTATAGTCCTGCTTGACACGTTATTACTGGTGACGAAAATTTAGTTATGAGGACCTCAAAGCAATTATTTTAAAAGGGCCAAACTTTAATGAACCCCGATCTTTCAACTGGAATCATAATTTCATTAATATTATGAATTCCTTGGAAAATTATGCCAGACGATGGGCCAGACATGAAAAAAAAGACCTTGACACTTTGTCAGAATGGATTAAATCAGATGTATGTTAAAATCTTGCATGAAGCGATTGAGGGGCAATATGAAAAACATCTATCCTTCCGTATTCAATAATTCACAAGTGAAACAAGAATTAGATAGACTATATGATCAGTATGTACTGGTCCCTGCTGACAAAGCAGGTAACATCATTGTCTTTGTTTGTAAGGCTCATTATTTTAATTGTATTTTAGAGGAACTGCGATATAAGTCTACAAGTGGCAATCCAACTTACACCCATAGCTCCCTTTCTAAGGAGGAAATTCTTCAAAATTATATGTCAGTTTTGAATATTTTTAATATTCCAAACAACCAAAATGAATTTGAATTACCATATCAATATTGGATTCCGAAACTTCATAAAAATCCTTACAAACAATGTACATAGCGGGTTCCAATATATGAATAAATAAATGATTCATTTGTGGCAGTTACATTTATACTAATCAGGTAAACTCATGCATTTGAATGTATAAGTACATGTTAAGCTGTAGGTGGTGCCAATTACTTTATTAGATATTTTTTGAATTTTTTTAAAATTAATATTGTGCTCCCAAATAATCCTTAGTTTGATGTAAATATCAATACTTATCAAAAGGCTTTCACGGAAAAAAATATGTTTGATTCAGGTATCTTAAGGTATATTTGTCAAGCTCAATTTTTATTGACTTATTTTGATTTTATCTATTTCTAAGAAATTACTTAAAGAATGATATCCCCCAAAACAATATTTTGATTGGTTGCTTATATATCAAGTGGACTGATTATTCACATAAAGACATTCTGCTAGATTGAATTCATCACAACACGGGAATGTCTATGTAGAGAAAACCAGATGTAAAGGAGTGGTTTTATGAAAGCTATAAATAAATGTTTTATTCTTATTATCAGATCTAGTCAGCTTTTTTGCTTTGATAAACAAACAGGTGCTTATTGGGGCCATTACACATATTTCGAACTCTCTCCCATTCCTTTATGGTGCTTTATCAAACTAGGCAATACTTCTATATCATAAATACTGTTTACAATTCTATGTATTTTATCGGAAAACAATATGCTGATATAGATTTATAATATAAAAGCACTTTATACTGATCTTCATTCTAAATTTTCCAGTGCTTTGCTATAAAATAACAAAAACTTATAGCCATTTATCATATTGTTTAACCATATATTCTATACTTTATTTTAAATATCACATAACTTTGTCGTTAAAAATGTTATAGGGATCTTTGAATCAGCCAAGCAAAACAGAACACACGTGCATGAACGTGCTTTCATGCGTATCCAACCTCCTCCTTTGGTTTAGACATAAATTTTATCTCGACTATTTTCAAAACATTTCATTTAAAAATGTGATAGTTAAAGCCATTTCAAGTTTATGGGATTTCACTCATTGCAGGCGCACTCATATGCATGAATCTGACCCTCGTTCCGCGCATCTAAATAACATGCATATTAATCCCTGGTGATATGTAAATAATATCTTCCATTCATTTATTTTATCAAGTATTCATAAAATCATGTAAAATCACAACATTTGATAACAATACTGGCAAGTAATTAGAAGCAAATCTTGTGCTATAAATGACGTCACTAGCCTTGACTTGACAGAGTGAATGTGATCCAGAGGAGTGGATCCATTGGGTTTATCATTACAAAAATGCGTAAATAATTATGAAACCATCGCCCATTTTTAAATCTAATCAATAAAGCTAAAAGGAAACAATTATAGAGATTATCAATTTATCTAGTTGCTATGGAGCTGCACAGCGACAGAAAATATAAAGAATATCGCTTACACGATAACCGTATTCCTATTGTTTTGAAAAGTGCTTGGAGCTGATTCTGGTCTGCATAACATTATTTTTATTCATAACAGAAATAAAGCGAAGAAGGAATTTTTTGCTCTTATACGCATTTTCGGCAAAATTACCAGTACTTCCAAAACTGCAAAACTAGCTCCAAGCACTTTTCGGGTAGACTATGTTAACCTTTTTTTAATGTGTACCATTTTATTCTCCAAAAATATGCGTATGTCCTTGCACTAACGACTTTTTCTACTTTCAGCATAACAATTCTATTCTTATGCCAATCACGTGACACACAGCTGATTTATGCGATGTTACTGGTACTGAGTACGGCACAAACCTATCCATTTCTGATATCTATATTACATTTGCAAGAAATATACACAGTTACTTTGTTAAAAAGATTTTTAAAAATAAAAGATATCAAGAAAATACTACAATCGCATTTTCCATTTCCTTCCTTAAGATAGCTGAGTAGTTTCCAAGAACACTCGCGG